AGCTGGAACCAACTTCCAAGGGAAGTGGTGCTGGCCCCTACCCTGGGGGTCTTTAAGAAGAGGCTGGATGCCTACCTGGCTGGACTCATTTGAGTCCCGTTTCTTGTTTTGGGGTTTTGTTGTTCTCCCGCCCTGGCGGGGGGTCGGGCTAGAAGATCTACTAGGTCCCTTCCGACCCTTAATCTATGAAACTATGAAACATGCACAGTAGAGCTGGGACAAAGGATTTCCATACATAGCCACTGACTCCCTTTGTGAGCTTGGGTAGGTCTCTTCATTTCCTGGCATTGCCCAAGGAACAGATATATAATTTCCTTTACGAGCGCATGGAGGTCTAGGGACAAAAAGCACCAGACTAATGCATCTTGTTTTTCCTTTGAACTTAGGCAGTACTGGGCCGAAGAGGGAGAAAACCAAGCATGCACCAAAAACTGAGGAACAGGATGATACGACATGGTTGCCTGCAATAGCCAGCAACTAGACTTGAAGATGTTGGATGCCCCTTTCAGTCCTGGGTTTTTATGATCTTATGCAAGTAACTACAGACAAGAGTCCAACAGAAGGGACCCAAGGAAAGACTAAAGTGGTGCCAACCCTACCAGTGTGCTTTTCAATGTGGTTTCATTGCAATTGGTTGGAAACACAATGAAACCCTAAGGGGTTATGAATGCAAGACTTCATTTCATGCAAGACCTGCCTCCCTTGGCAGGCAGCGTTTGATCTCTGCGGCAAAACAGAACACAGCCACCGGTCACTGGATCCCCCTGCCAATGCGTGCAGACAGATGAGTTACAGAGCCCGAGAGTCTAGGATGCAGCCTCTTGATTTACCGAGATGAATGAACCACATGCTGTGACCTTTCCAGAGTGTATCACAATGAGCTTTAAACCTTCCCTTTCTTTACAATTCATCTTCTCTTTCTTTTTTAATAAGCATGTGGATTTTTCTCCTTTAAGCTATTGGGAAATTCTAGCATGTCAGAAAATGGCATGATATGACCACCGTGCAAGGAGGGTTTATCTTCTGTAAGGACCCCTAAGCTTTGCTAAGACTCTCCGGTCTTGCCCATCAACCTCTTTATTCAGGGAAGTAAGTAGCCCTGGAAGGAGAAGGGCAAAGCATAAGCCAGGGTTTGGAAAGCAGCTAAAAGAAAGCAAAGAATGGGGAGAAATGATTCATTTTCAGCATGGCAAAAGGTTAATGATGGAGCATCATTAAGGTTCCAGGAGGACTAGAAAGAGTTTAAAGGAGAAGATAATTAACTACTGGAATCACTTACCTCAATGTGCAGTGGATTCCCCATCCACTAAAACATTTAAATCAATGCTTGGTATCTTTTTAAAAGCTAGTCTAATGCAGACAGGAGTTGTGGGCTTGAAGTGCCAATTATTCAAGGAAGTCCTATGACCTGTGTTAGCAGGACATTAGACTAGATGATCATAACGGTACCCGTGAGCCTGGCCTTGAAATCTCAAAAATGATCAATGCCCTGGAAAAAAAGGGCGAGCAATGACCATGCAACATCTGCAGGTAATGCAAAATCACTTAGGTTAATCAAGCCTAAAGAAGGTTTTAGAAATCGCTCGTCAGGGAAGGCAAATGGCATCACCACGGTCCCCCGTTCATCTACCCTGGGATCGTCGGGGCCATGTTCATCGGCTCACTCAGAGCACATCAGGATTTCATCAGGTTTTGCAAGAACGTTCCTCCTGATAGTTCAGGTATCTGAAACAGCGTCAAGCGTCGGCGTCCCTGGGTGGCAGGTTTGAGAGGAGCTGAGCGGTGGCTTGAAGCACCTGTAGTAGGAGACAAGCAATATGGATTCAGAGCTGACACCTAGGAGGACAGAAGCCAAGTTTGAGGCTAACTTCGGACACACATGGCTAGCTACCTCTCACCTAAGAGGGGAGTTTGAGGCAGGAGACAAAGATCCGTTTCTATCTTTGGCCCTGTCACTGGCTGGTTACAAACCGCGGGTGAGCTGCTTTCTTTTTCTGTGCCTCAGTTTCCCCATCAGTAACTCAGCTAACACATACCCACCCATTCGGATGGAGCTGCAGCATGAAGAAGAGGACCACAGAAATGGACTGAGGTGGCTACTGCTGCCGAGCTAACAGACACGGTGCTTTATCTCATGCAGTGGAAGTGCTTTAGAGTAAGGTGCACTGGACACATCCCACCAAGGGAGACAGGACACCAAAAATGACTTTTGTGTGGACTTGAGCCTCCACGGAGGATTCATTCATTGGTGTTTGTGATGCAGTTAGATGCGGCGAAAACGATAGCTATACAGGGACAGACTTCAGTGGTGAATGCTAAATTGAGTCATGGCAGCACGCACAGCTATTTTAGGGACAATGCTGAAAGAAAGCACTACCAATTTTGAGACAATGAAAGCAAGTCCAGCTGTCTACACTTAGAAAACAAAGGACATATCTCTATACCTTCCCTTGGCACTGTGTGCAAGGGTGCAAATCATTCAAAGCGCTTCTGTAAATATGTATATGTAGCTACTTTAAAAGAATAGAGAGGTTTCAGCACGGACCTCTTAACAGCCATCACAGGAAGAAAACAGGGCAACATTTCAGAGATGAATAAAGTTTTGAGACCAAATTTAGGTCCATTGATTTTTTTTTTTTAAGTTTCATTTGGGGTTAAAAAAAAATCCATTTGACCCCAAGTGAAATTACAGAATCAGAGAAAACGAGGGTGGGAAGGGACCTCAGGAGGTCACAGCTAGTTCAACCCCCTGCTCCAAGCAGGGCCGTCCTCGACTACATCATCCCAACCAAGGCTTTATCTAGCTGGGTCTTTAAAACCTTCAGGGATGGAGATACCCCAACCTCTCTGGAAAACCTGTTCCAGTGTTTGAGAGAGTTTTGTTCAGCAAGAAAAATAACATAGGCGAGTCTCAGGTCAACCCCAAATTAGTTTTATTTATTCTTCATTTTTTTTGGATCAGCCACCTAATCAAAAATCTACTTTCACAGTCTGGTCAGCAAAACTCAGCCTGGGGGTGCAAAGAAATCTCCTTGCCAGTGTACAACCAATCCTATCTTTCTCTTACCTTTTATCTTTTAAGCTCCGTTTGCCTTCCCAGCTAGCGAGTGGAGGGAGGAAAGTAATAATAGCACCCAAAATGGCAAGGGTTTTGGGGACACTGGACACAGCATGGGTGTTTCTGCTGTGCATGCAAAACTCTTGGTTCAGAGATGGTACCTTTTGTTAGACCCACTAAGAAATTGCAAAAAACAATATCTTTTTCTGCAAGTTTTCGAGCACTTGGGGATGTGCTGGGCATGGGCACTTGTTCTACTCCATCTTTCTCCATTGCGCTGCAGCCTTGGCTGCCAACTACAGATCGTGAAAACTCCTCCTGGGGGTGGTCAAATAACGTACAGCGTGCCCTTTTATCAAGACCCGCATGGAGGGCTGTGATATGATGCCGCAGCACAGCAGCCTGGGAGGGAGAACCAGCAGTGAAACCATTCATGTTGCATTACCCGAAAGTGGTCCCCCGTGCCCAGCGCCCGCCCGTCACACCGAGGGCTTCCCCAAGGAAGCAAGCAGCACAGTCTGATTGCTTTCCCAGGCATTTTGGAGATTTAAGGCCACTTCTCCATTTCTCCTTGAAGGCTGCTTCCTTGAGCTGCTTACTCTATGAGCTCATTTGATTCTCACACACAGAGTTAGATACGATTACACTCCAGGAAGGGATATTACTTGAAATTCAGTGCATTAGGGACCATAGTAATTGTAGAGCAGGGTGACCCCGGCTTACCATTCAGCAGTAATTTTTCCTGCCCCGGCTGTGTAATGGAATAAAGTCAGGTGCTGCTGTTTATTTTTATCCACTTACAGCCAAGTCAAAACTACGGGTAAATCTTTTTCTTTTTCATTCTTTTCTGCTAAATAAAAGACAGACCAAACATCCCAAGGAAATGCCATTTAGAAACTGACTGCACCATTCAACATGTGCCCATACACATACCAGGCACTGCAGTTACAGGTTCAACAGTGCCTTAAATCTGCCCATTTATAGACTGTAATAATCTCTTCTAAGAGTAGCAGTGCATGGGGTATTTCTTAAGCGGTGTAATTCAATGCAACTTTAAACATGCATACTTTGATAATACTCAGAGACATGAAGAGACAAAAACATCCAAGGGCACTGAAGGCACTGGCCAATGTCATTGCACAGCCACTGGCAAGAATATTTGAGTACTCATGACGCATGGGCCAGGTCCCGGAGGACTGGAAAAGGGCCATTGTGGTCCCTATTTTCAAGAAGGGGAGGAAGGAGGATCCAAGCAACTATAGGCCAGTCAGTCTCACCCCCATCCTTGGCAAAGTCTTCCAAAAGATTATTAAGGCTCATATATGTGGGAGCCCAGCAGGAAAAATTATGCTGAGGGGAAACCAGCAGGGGTTCATAGCAGGTAGATCATGCCCAACTAATCTAGTCTCTTTGTATGACCAGGTTACAAAACACCTGGATGCAGAAGCAGGGGTGGATATCGTTTACTTAGACTTCAGAAAGGCCTTTGATACGGTATCCCACCCCATACTGGTGAACAAGTTAAGAGGCTGTGACTTGGATGATTACACAGTCCGGTGCGTGGCAAATTGGCTCGAGGGTCATACCCAGAGAGTGGTGGAGGATGGGTCGGTATCGACCTGGAAGGGAGTGGGCAGTGGGGTCCCGCAGGGCTCGGTCCTTGGACTGATACTCTTCAATGTCTTCATCAGTGACTTGGACGAGGGAGTGAAGTGTACTCTGTCCAAGTTTGCAGATGATACAAAACTGTGGGGAGAAGTGGACACACGGGAGGGCAGGGAACAACTACAGGCAGACCCGGACAGGTTGGAGAAATGGGCAGAAAACAATAGGATGCGATTGAACAAGGAGAAATGCAAAGTGCTGCACCTAGGGAGGAAAAATGCCCAGCACACCTACTGCCTAGGAAATGACTTGCTCGGCAGCACGGAAGTGGAAAGGGATCTCGGAGTCCTAGTGGACTCCAAGATGAACATGAGTTGTTAGTATGACGAAGTCATCAGTAAAGCTAACTGCATTTTATCGTGCATCAGCAGGTGCATGACAAACAGAACCGGGGAGGTGATACTTCCCCTCTATCGGGCGCTGGTCAGACCACAGTTGGAGTACTGCATCCAGTTTTGGGTGCCACACTTCAAGGGGGATGTGGATAACCTGGACAGGGTCCAGAGAAGGGCGACTCATATGGTTAAGGGCTTGCAGGCCAAGCCCTCCGAGGAGAGACCAGGGCACCTGGACCTCTTCAGCCTCCGCAAGAGAAGGTGGAGAGGCAACCTTGTGGCTGCCTATAAATTCATCATGGGGGCGCAGAAGGGAATTGGTGAGGCTCTACTCGCCAAGGTGCCCCTGGGGGTCACAAGAAATAATGGCCATAAGCTAGCAGAGAGCAGATTTAGACTGGACATTAGGAGGAATTTCGTCACAGTTAGTGGCTAAGGTCTGGAATGGGCTCCCAAGGGAGGTGGTGCTCTCCCCTACCCTGGGGGTCTTCAGGAGGAGGTTGGATGGGCATCTGGCTGGGGTCATCTGAACTCAGCATACTTTCCTGCCTATGCAGGGGGTCGGACTCGATGATCTATTGAGGTCCCTTCCGACCCTAACATCTATGAATCTATGAATAATTTTATATATAATTATTTAAATAGAATATAACAAATATACAAAATATCCTACATCATTTTTTTTCTGAAAAGTCTTCTACTGTATAATACATCTATATTACCATCCACTGGAAAAAGACAATAGGATTCCACCAGTTCAATGTTCGTCTCATTTTCCTATCTACTCCTCCATAAGCCACGGATTTTCCTCTTCCCTGCAACGGTGAGTAATGCACTATATGCAACTACAGTTATGCACTGCACGCAAGCACACACAACAGCTTTTTCTTTCGAACAGGAGCGTGCTTGCCACAGTCCTTCTCAGAGGATCGAAAATTGCTGCACCTCTGCGGTGAGCACTGATAACTTACGTCACGAGGTCCCTTCCAGGCCTAAACTTGTGTGAATCTGTGTGAATCTGTAGGTCCTGCAATAATTCAGACGGAGGGTCACTCATGTAAATGGACGACTGCCCAGGCGTGAGACCACACTCGGGGCTAATATCCTAGTTGGTTATTCCATACTTCACAGCCTCTGGATGGCAGACCATTTGCTATCTAATCGTATTGCCTAACATACCCTGTTATTATTGGATGGATTAAAACCCCAAATTAAATGCCCTCCTATTTCTAAAGTCAGAGCTAAGTCTCTCCGTCAGGTTCCCAAATGTGGCAGGTTAAAGGCCTGGGGCTATGGCTCTTCCTGCGGGTCAGTGCATCATCTGGGAGGAAGGACAGCTGAACAGCTGAAGACACACAGACCCACTGGGTTAAGCTCAGGGAGTCAGCTTTGATGCCATCGATGAGTCAAGCATTTGAAAAGAAACAGGTCTCCCTCTCAAGCCTGGATCTAAGGAGCAGATAGAGGAGCAGAGATGTGCACAGACAAGGAGGCTGCTCCAGAGGGTGAAGGGACCTGCAAAGAGGGGCAGGGAGAGGGAAGGCTGTCCTCAGCTTGGGCCACCAGCTCATTGAGCCCCTGTAAGGACAGTGGTTGAACACCCAAGCTGCTGGTGAGACCCACCACCATGCACCTTGGTGTGACTCAGCCCTGAGGAAATCCAGACCCAGATGAAAAGCCTTGCAGCCAGTCTGCTGAATGGATGGGAGACCCAGCAATTTGAAATCTACTTCATCTT